AAAAAGGGTCCCTTTTTTTTTCGGGGAAAAAACTTACCATTCCCCGGGGGGGTCTCTTTGGGGGGGGCCCACCCTTTCCCTTTCGGGTTTTTTGCCAAAAACAAAGGGGATGTGGGAAAAGGGGTTTTTTAAAAAGGGGGTTGTGTGTTGGTTTTTTTTTGTGTGAAATTTGAGTTTTGGGGGGGGGGGGGGGGGGGGGGCTGCCTTCGTCAAAGTGACCACGTGCGTAGTCGTTCTCGAGAAAGATCACCAGTTGAATTCACCGCCAATAAATGTGCGCTCTCTTGACGTGCCTGCCACAACTTTGCACACACGAAACTGTTGAATGCACCATCTATTCCTGATGGGGCGGGGTCACGATGAGGGTGAGGATATGACCATGGAAACACGTTGATAAGAAATCGACAGTCCCCCTGACACACACACATGCATTTTGACGCTCCCTCACAGGGTCCCAGATCGTGGCTTTTAGAAGCATTTTGTTTTTTCAGCCGCGCTCAGACTGGCGTCTTTTCATTGGTTAGTCGGTAAGCGCGGTCGATGCAAAAAAAAAAAAAAAAAACACACACACGCACCTCTCTCCTCAGCCAGAAGCATGGCCTCCTTCAGTGCCCCCTGCTCCTCAGGGTTGGGAAACGCCACCGTGGGGAACTCCGGGTCCGGCTCGCTCTGGCACCTCACAGACACGTACGGCGGCAGCGAGAAGCAGCTGAAGGCGCGCTGAGCCCAGCTGTCGCCCACCCCGTGCATGGCAGAGTACACCACCTGCAAGGGAGCAGGGGGGGGGGGGGGGGTACTCATGTTTTGCGTGCATTCGTTGGTAGACCATTGACTACGAGAGGGCGGAGTATCGTTTTCTCATAGGGCCGATCGCCGATCGCTCCGTCCTACTGCTGTGCGAAAGATGGCCCACAATTTGTTCCTTGTCCTATCCACCCTATCGATATCAGTGCGAGGGGGGCTCCTTACGTGTTGCGTACGCATGTACTGCTGTGAGAAGTGAAACCATACAAAAGAAGTGCCACGAGGCAGGCAGGCCCGTTCCCCGGGAAGGGGCGCGTGGGGAGGGGAGCGGGGATACGTCGTGAAAAGTGTACCCTACGGCGCCCCGGTGATGGGGGTGAGGCTTCCGCTACCGCCGCAGGGTCTCTTTCCCGCAGAAAAAAAACGTTTCCAACATTATTACAAACCCATAAGAGAACACCGGGTTCGCGGAGGATTAGTGTCCGTACAAAACGGTTTCTATTGAGCCTCATCCACTCGGCCGTCACTACGAGAAAAAAAAAAATCTCGCAGGGGTTCAAAACGGGCTGCTGCTGCTGCTGCTGCTGCTGCCATGTGTTTAGATAGAAGAGTTATGTATCGGCGAAGCAGACAATAAAAGATGGGCCAGACGTAATCTGGAAACAAGGAGAGTAAGACTCATTCGTCAAACATGGAAAACAAAAAAAGTTCCGCACCTCGAGGCCGGAACGGGCGTTGGCCTCCGGTCTCCGACAGAGTCCTTTGGCGATGCCTCGAAAGTATTCTTCCACGATGTGTTCGGTAGGATCGGAGCACAGCGGCCCGGCGATAGCGCTCTCAGGGTCATACAACTGTAGAGAGAGCGAGAGAGCGAGAGAGAGAGAGAGAGAGAGAGCCCAGCGCGAGGGAGTGCAAAAACGAACACGTCCAATAGGGGATCGTAAACAAAAATCAGCCTGGTGTGATGCGGACCGTCCGGCTACACAAAAACAGAGGACACTGCAGACACCTGCAATGCTGTTGGTATCTACGACATCGGAGTCGGAGTCGGAGTCGGAGTCGGAGTCGGAGAAAGACTTTCAGTTTGCTTTCTACTGGAAGGATAAAAAATCGAGCCAAACAGCTCCTACATGCCCCCCCCCGCGCACAATGCACAGGCCACGCATCAACAAAGCCGCCGCTTTTGCTCGCTTGCTCTCGCCCCCCGTTGGCCAAGAACAATCATAAAACAATTCTCACCTGCCAGGGCTCCAGGTTTCTGGCGATGCTGGCCGCTATCCCGGCGTCATGCGGCGGGATGATCTGGCTCCCGTTTCCCCAGTACACCTTGTAGCCGTTGTCCTTCTTGGGGTTGTGCGAGGCCGTCACCATCACGCCCGCACACGCCTTGGTTTGGGAAACCCCGAAGGCCACGAGAGGCGTGGCCACGGTCCCGTCCATGAGGAACACACGGAACCCCCTCGAGATGAACACCGACGCGGCAAGGTTTGCAAACCCTGCCGACGACAAGCCGCCCTGGGGTTCGAACAGAGGTTGGGCGTTGCACATTGAAATTGATATGTAGTCACTATTATTTAGGTCTAACCAACGTTGAACCAAAGTTCCTCACACGGCATGTGTCACATGCCGTGGCCGACCCAACCCTAAACCTAATCCTTACGGCCTAGCGGTCGCGATTTGGGCGAGCACACCGCTGCGCCGCGTTCCCGGAATGCGGAACGGCGAGAGGGGCCTGGAGAGGAATCGACCGTGTAGTCCGAAGTATCCGCGGGTTGCGCTATCTAAGAACAACTTTGGACAACCAGGCAGAAACACACCCAGAACCCGTGACAATCAACGTCAGGGGGGTATAAAACTCATCCCCAGAAGCCACGAAATCCTCCCCAGGCCACGGATAAGGAAAAAGGCGGTGAGGGGGGAGGGTACCGGCCGACCTGTTCTGTCCAAACCCGAGATGAATATGCACCTGTTGCCGGTGGTCCCGTCCGATGACGACGCCTCTGGACTTGAACTCCTCACCGCCTTCCTTCTCGAGGTAGCGGCAGAGCCCTTGCGACGTCTGCCAAGACCCCGCCATCGCAACCACAAGCGGCCAGCGGTACGAAACGTGCAGGACATCAGCAACCCCCGCGGTGTCGTCTATCGCAACAGCATCAGCACACCCGGCAAGGGAATATATAGACTATCTTGGTGCCTGCATTCTGCGATCGGCGGGTACATAGACTGGCTGGCGCCGGAAGAGATGGGACAGAAAACACAGACACAGCGAGAGTGTACCCACGACCAACCCTACGCTGCATGCACGACGCGCATACTAGGGACCACGCGGGGATGGCAGGGGCATATCGCTTGTAGGGCGATAGAACGCGTCGATGATCGCAGAAGAGTCCCCCCCCACGTTCTAGCTTCGCGCAAACACACCTGAATGACGACGAGATCGTTGATTCGGCAGAACCCAGGACCCATCACGCCCCGCAACCCGGATGTTCCGAACGCCAACCGCTTTCCCATCAAACCCCTGTGCATCCACATCGCATTTCGACAGCGGCGGTGGCGGGGGGAGGGGGGGGGGGGGGGGGGGCCCCCGCCCCACCACCAGCCGCCACCATAACGGTAGCGGGGGGGGCAAGGGCAAGTAAAAAATGAAGGGTGGGAATTCCGCTCTCGGGGAGGGCTAACTAATAACCCCTGTTTGCTTCGGCGGGATAACGGGTCAAGGAAATAGGTCACGGGTTGTTCGGGGCTGGGGGAAACACCTTAACTGTATCAAAAAAGTTAGGGGGAGGGTTGGGCCCGGGGAAAAA